TCTCCCTCCCGCCCTCCCTCCCCTCCTCCCTCCCTCCTCCCCCCTCCGCTCCCCTCCCCCCTTCCTCCTCCCCACTGACACTCCTCCCTCCTCCTTCCCACCCCCCTGGCCCCTCTCTCCCTCCCGCCCTCCCTCCCCTCCTCCCTCCCTCCTCCCCCCTCCGCTCCCCTCCCCCCTTCCTCCTCCCCACTGACACTCCTCCCTCCTCCTTCCCCCTCCCCTGGCCCCCGCCTCCCGGGCCCCCCGCCCCCCCCCCCCGGGAGGCCGCGCCGGGCCGCGGGCAGGGCAGCTTGCGATGGCGGCGGGCGCCCCAGAGCCTGCGCCCCCGCGCGGGCGGCGGGGGGCGGGGCAAGAGGAGGAGGAGGAGGAGCAGGCGGAAGAGGAGGACAGGGTGTGGGCGCGGGAAGGAGGAGGAGGAGGAGGAGGAGGAGGAGGAGGAGGAGGAGGAGGACTGAGGACTGAGGAGTGAGGAGTGAGGAGTGAGGAGTGAGGAGTGAGGAGTAGGAGGAGTAGGAGGAGGAGGAGCGGCCGTGTGGCAGGGAGGTGGGTGCCCAGATCGGGCATAGCCTTAAATCGGGCCTGTCTCCCTACAGGGGGATTGTCGACGAAACATAAAGCATACCCCAAGATTGCCCCAGAAAAGTCGAAAAGTATTTTTTAAAAACATAGTCCCCAGATTATGTTTTAGTTATTGTTTGGCTATTTTGAGGTTATGTTCAATTTTTCGTCGAAGATCCCCCTGTAGGGGGACAAGCCCGACTGGATCCCAGGTAAGGGACCCGATTGTTATCGGGCCAGACGAAAGGGGGGGATTGGGAAAGGAGGGGGTACGGAATTTGCTGCATGCAGCTGGTTTCGGCCTCACCGAGGGGCCCATTCCTCGATACGTAGCTGCCTCTGGCGCCGGAGGCGCCGGGAAAATCAGCTACGTGAGCTGATTCTCAGCCCCCCCTTTGCTGTCCCCCCTTTTCGCCCGGCGCGATAGTAGGAGGGCCCTGGAGCTCCTAAATCGGCCAGAGTCACTGAACCAGGTCTGCCGGAGCTGGTGTTTGTTCGGGTGGCGGCAAGGCCGATTAGTGGAACGAGCGGGGGCGGCGCCCCCCAGTGCACTTCACTAAACCAGGTCCCACTAAACCCAGTTCTGCCAACGCCCGACCAGAGGAGGAACAGGTGCCCGTTTCTCAGGAGGAGGAGGAGGAGGATTCAGGGAGGGGGACTCAGAGCAGGAGGACGCAGGGAGGGGGGGGACTCCGAGGAGGAAAAGGTACGCACACCTCGAAGCAGGAAAAACTGCACAAACAGAAACTTTTGGCGCTCCGCGCGGGTTTCTTGGATCGACGCGGGGCCCCCCCCCCCCCTCCGGCGCCGCGCCTGGCGCGCTCCGCGCGCCAGGGAGGGGGGTCCAGCGCAGATACAAGAAATCCACGCGGAGCTCCAAGAGTTAATGCTTATGCCGTTTCCTGTTCCTCTAATGCCCCTGCCCTTCCCTCGTCCCCCCGTGTTTGGGCCTCCGGCGGGGCCCTCGTCGCCACCGCGGGGTTCGCCTCGACAAGTTGGTCGGAGCGCACCCCAGGAGGTCCTGGGGAGCAGCGGTATGATCACCACCCACCAAACCACCCCAACCCAACCCGAAGGCTCAGATTTACCCTCGATTTCCAGTGGGGGGGGGTCGGGAAACATCGAAAAAACACATGTGGAACCCTTACCCCCCCCAACCCGAAATTCGGGTCTTCGGGTTGGGTTGGGGTGGTCTGGTAGGTAGTCATATGAACAGCTTTTGGTTCCACCAGGGGCAGACTCGGGGGCAACGGCAGGCGGCAATGGGAAAGGGACCAATTTGGTGCAGTCGTGCACGAGCGTCGCCCCCCCTTGACCTCGTAGACGAGCCGCGCGACGGAGAACAGGATGGCCATTGCAGTCGGGGCGCTGAAGAAGGAACCCTTCTCGCTGGGGAGGGGCTCCGTTTAGCTTGATTGTTTCCCTGATGTTCTCGATGGGAAATCGAGCTTTCACTGATGGGAAAAAGGGGCCCCGTTCCTTATTGAGGGCTCCTTAGGTCAACGTCCCGACTGCACACGCACACCACGAACAGCACCAGGGATCACATCTGATGGCATCCAGGGGGAGCCGTCGGGGGTTCGGCGCGGCGGGCGCCGTCGCTGCCCGCGTCACCGAGAGGGCCTGCTGGGCAACGTTTTGGGGGAGGGACAGGCTCGAAGTGGCAGGTTGCGGAAGTGTTCGTCGGTTCTCGGCCAGCAGCTGCGCTTCGCCGAGAGTTTTCCACTTGGTATCGCTCGGACGTGTGCATTTTTCCTTCGTCGGGGACCATCGAGGAGCATCCTGTATCATTTGGCGAAAAAGACCACGCACGAAACCGAAAAAAACACAGGGAATGGACGTCCGAGCGATGGCCAGTCCAGGGGTGCCTGGATCGTCCCGAGCGGCCGCCAAAGGCCCGAGGTACGACCCGAGCATGTACTTGTCCAGGGCCGCGTTGAGCGCATCGACTCGAGAAAAGTGCCCCGGCCACCTGCTTCTGGTCAGGTCGTCCAGGTTGGACCTACTTGCCTTACGCGGGACTTCACTGCCGGGCCAAGCCAGATGCCTGCTGCTACCTCCAGTGCTCACGCTGCCACAATATATCGGCGGCGAGCGAGGGGGGGGGAATGCGAAGGAGAAGGCCTTCTCAGAAGGCGGCGGGACTTCTCAGAAGCCCCCGCGCCTTCTGAGAAGTTGTTCTGCACTTCTCAGAAGGCCGGGGGACTTCCGAATTTTCTGAGAAGGCCTCTCCTTCTCACTTCCCCCTCTCGCTCGCCGCCGAATCTAAGCAGGCCTGGTCATCGACATGCTCGAACAAATGCATACTATGATCCAGGGGTGCATCTTGTCTGCGGATCTGCGGCTTAGTACCGTGTGAGATCACCCCGTCCACCGACGCGCTTACATGGCAGGATCGGAGTTGGTTGTCTTCCAGGTGGGTGGCTTCTGTTTGCCGACGGTGCAGGACACGTTTGTAATTGTTTTTCTGGTTGCACGAGGCTAGTCCCGCAGTGTGGAGGGGGGTGCCCATCGCACAAGTTCTCAATCGTCTGGCAGTGAGTGCTGCTTTGGCGTAATTTCGCTGCTCGAAGGCCACCTTCATGGGCGCACCATCACTTTTGACACGTCAAAATACTGCCCAGGAAATAAGGTCGTTCGCTCAAGGGGCAGGTTGCAATATTCAACGTGAGCGCTCTGCGAGTTGCAGACAGGCTTATCAAATTGTCAATATGTTGCTTCGGGCGACGCGAGTCGGTCGGCAGGCTCATTCTCCTCGCTCCAGGATCAGGGATTCGTTGGGCATCCATCCGGGCGGGATCGCTATGGCTCTCGACCTCGAGGAGGAAGGGGGGAGGGGGGGACGGTGGGGCACAGTGGCAGCGCAGCAGCCTCAGCCAGCAAGCCCGAAGGCCGGCAAGGCCAGCGGCAGCCACCCCCCACCCATTCGAGACGATCGAAGGACAGGACAGGACAGGAGCGGCGTGCGCGGAGGCGCGCCCTGTGCGGGCTGCCGTAAGCCTTCTCGCATTCTCGCACGCGCATTCTCACATGTGTGGTCGTACCCCCACTCCCCTCCTCCCTGTGTGTCCCTTGGATCTGACCGTAGCCTGTTGGCTTAAGGCCGCCGGGTCGGCGGAGTTTCTCAGTACTGTACTGTGGTGTTCAGAGGCGTGCCTCGGAAAACTCTATGCCCATCCTTTGATAACTCGTTATCTTTCGCCTTCTTCGATGCCCGACGGAGACGATCTCAATGGTAGCCGGAGCGTGGATGAGAATGGGTCGGGACAGGCAACAGAGGGCGCGAGGACGTCCGAGGCACCACGGCAGGCTGGGAGCCCATCGGCTGAGGCGGATGCAGCACATCAGCAAGGCGGCGAAGCAGCAGAGGGCCGCTGGTGGAGCTCGTGGTGGCAAAGCTGGTCGGGGGCAGGCTGGGACTGGAGCATGTCCGACTGGGATGACAACAGCACCCACGGCTGGACTAAGGTGGGCTCGCAGCCCGTCAGGAGTAGGGATTTTTCGGCGCCTCCTTCCTTTCCCGGGCTAGATCACCTGGAGATCTTCACGGCCAACTTGCAGGCATGGTCCAAGAGAACAGGGGTTCTGCCAGAACACCAGGCCAGCAAGGTGCTCGAAGGCTTCGAGATAGATCTTCAGGGCAAGCGCAAGGGGATACGCCACCTTCTTGATGCAGAGGACGGCATAACGGAGTTGCTCAAGCACTTGCACCTTCTTAGGGGGGAAAAGCCAGGCGACAAGGAGCGAGAAGCTCACAGCGAGGCGCTGTTCGATTACCTGATTCGTCCGACAGAGTCCCTCACTGCTTTCGTCATCAGGCGTGACAGCCAGATTGCTCAAGCAGAGAGGTTCGGTCTCACGCTTCCAGACGCTGTGCAGGCACGCTACTACGAGGAGGGCGCACAGCTGACCAAGCATAACCGCATCAACCTACGGACCTTGATGGGCGGAGACAAGACAGTAGCAGCGGTTAGACGAGCGCTCTTGGAGCTTGACGTCTCAGAGAAGTCGGTTCTCCCTCAGAAGTCAGCGACGCCGGCGAAGAGTTTCCCAGCAGAGCTAGAGGGCTGGGACTCGGACTCGGAAGACGGCGACGAGACGCTCGACCTCTTTGAAGTGGAATTCCCCGAAGATGACGCGACAGTGTTTCTGGGGGCGCTGGACGACAAAGACTTGTGCGAAGATGAGGGATACCAGATCTTCATGGAGATGGCTTCGAAGCGAAGGCGGACCTGGAAGGAGTCTAGGCAAACGAAGGCGGCGAGAAAAGTTGACCGAGACTTTTTCGACCGTAAGCGAGGTGGCAAAGGTGGAGTCCTTTCGCCTCCAACTCCATCTCCCGGCTTCAAGCGCATCAGCAAGGACGACTTGAAGAAGAGAACGCGTTGCACAAATTGTGGAGATAAAGGTCACTGGCGAGAAGATTGCAAGAAGCCATACAGGTCGAAGGCGGACAGACTCAAGTCGGAGGGCAAGAGCTTCTACTTTCAAGTGGGATCGGCAGCGGGCTCGAGCGGAAGCGCCTGGGCGATTTTCGCCGAGGAGCTGGCCGAGGCGATCGCGTTGGTGACGGCTAGCAGGTCAGACTCATTTTCGGGAGTGACGCTGAGGTCGATGGCAGACCAGGCTCTGGTAGACACGGCAGCGGCCCAGGCTTTGATAGGCGTCCCGGACCTCAAGCATCTCAAGTCGGCTTTCAAGGAGAAGGGTTTCAAGGTGCACGTTAGGTACCAGGACGATCTTCCTTTCGCCAACGGCGTCGGAGGGCGCGTCCGCCCGGTCGCCAAAGCTTTCGTTCCAGTATCATTTCACGGCTGTGGGGTCTTGGAATTTCTCGTGTTGCCGCATCCTTGTCCTCCCTTGTTGCCAGCAGGGTTCCTGGACTTCATGTCGGCCAAGATCGACCTAGCGGCCAACCAGATGACGGTGGGAACGGACGACACCACCACGCTGGATATGACGAAGCTCCCATCAGGCCACCGCACGATCGGTCTGATCGGCAAGTCCCCGTCGGATTTCGTTCTCGACCCTGATCTGGCCCAGAAGTTTCCGTCTTCTCGGATCGGCTCGGAGAGCGCCTGGGCCATGAGCGTGTCGAGCGGCTCAGACAGGTGGGAGCGGGGCGGCAACAAGCTGAGGCTGGTGTTCACCAAGCCCCGGCGTGCCATGCCAGTGAAGAAGGATCTGAGTGAGTCTCCCGTTCCGTCGAGCTTTCTGGAAGACGAGATGGTCACGACTTGCAGGTTCAAGAATCCCGACGGGATCTACGTCGAGCACATCTTCGAGGGCTCGGTATCCGACCTCGAGGACGATGCGAAGCTCATGCCGGACTACTGGGTCGGGCACGTGGAGTTTCAGGTGACGGCGCCGCCTGTGCAGGACAGGAGGGGCGGGCCGGGGCCGCCTGCATGCCAGCAGTCTCCTCCTCCTCTCTCGTCGTCCGAGTCGTCGTTCGAGTCGGGATCGATCGCGACGGGACTGAAGTCAGGGACTGACGAGGGGTCTCGAGACCCCCTCTCCTCCGTAGCCCCTCTCGGCTCGAGCTCGGCCGATTCTTTCGTCCACGTATCGCCTCCCAGCTCGCAGCCGGCGGGTAGCCATGCCGGTGCAGGTTGTCAAGAAGGGCGCCAAGCCGGGTTCGAGGTCAGTGGGGAACCTGCTGGGGCGCACGCGCGCCTCGATCAGGAACGCAGGCGGGCTCGCTCCACCGACGCACTACGAGGAGCCGGCCGAGAGCGAGATCGAGGAGAACTGGGGCGTCACGCCGGATCCCTGGAGGGACACGCAGCTGCAGCAGATCGACTACTCGGAGGTGGAGCTCAGCGAGGTCGAGAAGGGTCTGGTCAACGAGGGCGGGTTTATGTTCACGCCCGCGGAGACGGGCTGGCGGCGCTTCGCGCTGAAGCTGCTGGCAGTACTGACCTCGTGCGCTCAGTCGAGGCTGATCTCGGTGCTCGCCCCCTCGGTGATGCCGGCGATCGCCAGCAAGAAGATCTTCGCGACCGAGAACTGCCCGCACCCCCTGGAGCACCGCAAGCGCCGGGCCAACCAGCATGCGGCCTGGATCGTCTGCCAGCTGTGCAACAAGCGTCTTTCGTGTCACTCCAAGACGGTCGAAAAGAAGCTCGAGGCCAAGATCAAGAGGGAGTGCGAGAAGACCGAGAAGTCACAGAAGGCCAAGAACGAGCAGGACATGATCAGGGAGGCGGTGGAGGCCTACCACGCGAAGCAGGAGCACGTGAAGCAGGAGACTCTCGACGAGCCGGGTGCCCAGGAGGTTCCACCTCATCATCCGACTTACCGCAGGGCCGTGCCCATCAGCTCTGCGTGCCCGGTGTTTCCCCGCAGCGAGGGGCATCCAGGAGTGCCGAACCACCTCTCTTGGAAGGTGCCGCCGCCGGGCTACGTGGCGATCGACCTCGAGGGACCGGCCGCGACGAAGGCACCTCCGACGGCACGCAAGTCCTCTGGGGTCGCGCACCTGACGCGTGCCCAGGGCCAGAGCGGAATGCTGAGGAACCAGAACCCGACGGTCGAGAGTCACCTGATGGAGGCGCTCTTGCAGAACCAAGAGTCCAACCGCAAGGAGATCCTGGAGTACATGTTCGCACAGAGGCAGGAGTCGCAGGCGACGAGGGAGCAGTTCGAGCAGCTGATGAAGGTCTTGTCGGCGAATCTTCGTTCGGGCGGATGATCGGCTTCGGGATCGGAGGGGCCTCCGATCGAGCCAGCACCCATGGAGACGCTGGACGACGAGTACGGCCCGAGGCGCCTCTCGTGAGCAGCTGCCCGGCTCAGGACAAGCTGGACGGCGACCTGGTGGCGAGTGAGCCGCCACGGGCCTTTGCTTCCGCTGACGCCGGGTCCTCCATATTCGAGGCTTCGACGAAGATCGAGGTCGAGTCTGCGCACGCGATAGCAGGCTCCACGGACGCCAAGTCTGACCCGGGCTCGAGCAGAGCTTTGGATAAAAAGAAGTTCAGTCGTTCCACGATTTGGGAAATTTCGTCAGCCTCTCAGGAAACTCAGGAGAGGCTTCGCCAGATCCTGCGCCCGGGGACCGATCCGAGCGGCTGGACCGCCAAAAGTTTTTCAGTCTGGGACTCTGGGGGACGCCGCGAGCATCTGAGGGTCAGGTCGGGCTTGGAGGCTCGCTGGGTCTGGGATGCTGACACGGGGGGGCATGTCTCTCTGGAAAGGCTCTCGGACGAGGCGCAGTGGCAAGCCGAGGACGTCGGCCCGAGCGAGAAGGCCCAGTGGTTGGTCTACCTCGCTCTTCGAGCCGCGGACAGCCGCGCGATGGAGTGTCCTAGGTCGGGGGTTAGGCGTTTGAGAGTGACGGCGACGGACCGGGCTCGGGACGTGGTGGACGCGCTGTGGGCCGGGGCCTCAGCGTCAGGGCTCCAAGAGGCCTTAGCCGGATACAGCGCCGATCAGCTAAGGTTTACCGTTTGGTCTCCTGGTCGCCCGTCGTCGGACTTAGCTTCCCAGATCCCTAGCTCTTGGGTCGTCTTGGACAAGAGCCCGCTCCTTAGCAAGCGTCGAGAAGCGCCCGAAGCAGCAGTTCCCCGTCATGTGCGCCAAGACGCCCTTAGAATGTTCGACGGGGTAGGAATCCGAGCCGGTCGCAAGAAGCTAAGGAAGGACCTCATACGCCATCTTCGACGAGAACAGAGGACCCTGCTTTTGGAGCTTTTCTCGACCCCTCGAGTCTCAGTGGAAATGGTTCGTAGGGGCTATCAGGCCTCCCACGCTATCGATCTTAGGACAGGTTGGGATCTTCGCCAGGCGAGTCAGAGGGCCAAGCTCTGGGAGGTCATGGAGAAGGACGGGCCCGAGGTCCTCCTGATGAGCCCTCCTTGTAAGGGTATGAGTGTCGCCAGGGTCCCTAACTGGGACACCATGCCGAAGCACGATAGAGATCGAGTCGAGCAAGAGTGTCTGATGATGTGGGGTCTGTGCATGCAGCTGGCGATGTTTCAGCTGTCCAAGGGACGGTCTCTCTGGATTGAGAATCCGTACGGAGCCTTCTCTCAGCAGCTGAGCTCGACGAAGGAGCTTCTGAGCCAGCCCGGGGTCCAGGTGGTTCGGGGAGACCAGTGTGAGTTCAGGCTCAGGACCCTCGACGGGGGTCTGGCCATGAAGCCCACGAGCTTCATCTCGAACAGTCCGGAGCTTCTCGCCGTGTGTCACAGGAGGTGCACGGGGCAGCATGAGCACTCGCAATTGGTGGGCGGGGCCAGGACATCAGCAGCTGAACGGTATCCTGAGCGTCTGGTGGACGCGCTGATTGAGGGCGTTGAGCGGACAGGTTTTGCCGTTCTGTCAGCTAGCGAGCCGGAGGCCCTCTCGTTTCCGGCCGCCGCTGCCCCAGGGGCAGACCCCCACCCGGTTGACGGCGGAGAGATCAGCGACTCCGAGGAGGAGGGGGAACTCGAGCGTCCGGGCCCTGAGGGGGCCGAGAAATCCGATGCCTCAGGTTCGGTTTGAATTCCACGGGAACTCCAGGACGAGGTCCACAAGTTACACGTGAATTTGGGACACCCCCGGCGAGAGCATCTGATCAGGACGCTAAAGGTCGCTCAAGCAAAGCCTGAGGTCATCAACTGGGTCAGCAAGCATTTCGTGTGCCCTGGATGTCAGTCGGCCTCTCGGCACGGCTGGCGCCGGCGCTCGTGCCTGCCGCGAACCTATCGGTTCAATAAATTGGTCGCGGCGGACCTTCTGTATATAAGTGCCCTCGGCGAGACTAGGCCAGTCCTCAACTTGATCGACCACGGGTCGAACTTCCAGGTTTGCGTCCTCCTGCGCTCGGCTTCGGCCGTCGAAGTGTGGGGGGCCTTTCTGCGGTGTTGGGTGAGGCCACTCGGTCTGCCTGAGACCGTCATGACAGACGGGGGACCCGAGTTCGAGGGAGCCTTCTCCCGGGGGCTGGAGCAGGAAGGAATCTTCCAACACGTGTGCGACGCGGAGTCACCCCACCAGAACGGGCGCTGCGAGCGTCATGGGGGGCTCGTGAAGGCTGCTCTGGTTAAGGCTTCTGGAGGCACTGCTCCAGCGACTCTGGAAGAAGTGGAGGACCTTCTCTGCGAGGTGGTCGCGGCCAAGAACCGTTTTGCCCATAGGGGAGGGTTCTCTCTTTACCAAATGGTTTTTGGGGAAAATCCCAGACTCCCTCGTTGCCTTTTGTCGGGCGATGCTCACGACGAGGTCGGGATCGACGAGGCGGTGAGGGGCTCGACTGACGCGGAGTCTCCGTCGGCAGCTTTCGCGAGGAAGCATGCTTTGCGAGAGGAGGCCCGGCGGGCCGTCATGACCATGGACGTGCGGGGCCGTCTCGTTTCTGCCTCGCGTGCTCGCAAGCATGTGGATCCAGTGTTTTCCCCGGGGAGTTGGGTTTACGTGTGGAGGCGTGCCCCCTCTCAGCCTCGCGGCAACGTCGGTAAAAGCAGGTGGACTGGGCCCGGGGCCGTGGTTTTCCAGCAGGGAACGACGGTTTGGGCGGCGATACGCTCGCGTCTTTTGAAGTGTGGGAGCGAACAGGTTCGTTGGGCCACCAAGGAGGAGTCGTGGGGAGCCGAGCTTCTCGACTCTCCCTCTTTCGACAGCCTCAGGCGCGACCTGAAGGACCCAGGGAAGCGGGTGGGAGCGGTTGACGTGGAGTCCGAGGGGCCCCCTCCTCCAGGTGCTTGGGACGTGGCGGCGCCCCCTGAACGCTCGGAAGGCGCAGCTGCGGTGGTGGCCCCACCCACTGCTCGAGGGGCTGAGCCGGTGGTTGCTCCAGAGGATGATCCTCCTGCCCCTCCTGCTCCTCCTCTCCCCTCTTCGCTCGAGAGGGCCTCGACGGCCCAACCTCCCTCTTCGATCCAGGGGTCCGTGCCCACGCCCGCGGTCTCTCGTCAGATCACGGATCCGGGAAGCGTCGATCCCTCCCCTCGTCCTCATCAGAGACCAAGGCTGGAGCAGCCTCCCCCTCACCAGTCAGCGCCTCGGACCCCGGCAGAGCAGCTGCCAGCTTCTGGGCGAGCGTTGGCGCTCGCGAGAGAGATCGACCCTTCGATCCGGCGCCGCAGCGCTCTAGATGACACTCCAGTTTCGATTCGCCGTGGCGATCTGCGCCCGGCTGCCTCTTCCTCCTCCGACGCTCCTGGCCAGCCGAGCTTAGGTGCTGGTGGCGGCGCAGACGCCGTCCTGGAGTCCGGAGGGCGTGCGAGGTCGCGAACTCCCGAGCCTCGCCTTCTCGAGCCCAGGGATGAGTCCCTGAGATCGGGCACGGTTTTTGACAGATACGGTGCTCCGGTCTCGAGGGTCGCCGATCGGGCGATTCGAGACGCTGGCTTGGAAGATGTGCCTCCAGATCAGAGGATCTTGGGTTCCTGGTTTGAGGGCGGCGGCGAAGACGAGCAGCCAGAGTTCGACGAAGAGCAGGAGGAAAGCCTATGGGCTGAGTTGTGCGGGTGGTACGGCTGGGAGCCGTCTTTTTGGGTTGGGGGAGATGACACCTTCGCGGAGACTGGGGGCTGTTCTGGGGAAGGGGCCCCTCCCAGTCGGAGAGGAGCGGAGGTTTCGTTCAAGCATCTCTCGGAGGCCGAGAGACGCCTTTTCGTTTTCTCAGATGCCAAGGAGTGGCAAGCGATTTTAGATTCAGGAGCGGTGAGGATCGTTCCTGCCGCCGAGGCGGCTTTAGTGCGCAAGCGTTTTCCTGATCGAGTGCTGGGTTCCCGGATGGTCCGACGTTTTAAACCACAGGAGGGTTTGGGGTCTGAAGATGTTGCTAAATCTCGATGGTGCGTGCAGGGGCACCATGACCCCGACAGTGATCAGTTACAGATCTACGCCCCCACCCCCCAAGGGGAAAGCATCATGTTGACTCTACAAGCGATTTGCTCGTTGGGTTGGACCTTGGAAGTTGCAGATGCTAAGAGTGCATTCTGTCAGTCCAACAGACTGTCTCGTCCACGTGGACAGATTTTCTGCGAGCCCTGTCAGGGGCTGAACCTCGCCCCAGGCGAGCTCATTGAGCTCATTGCGCCAGTGTATGGATTAAATGATGCTCCATTGCTGTGGCACCGCACGCTCACACAATGGTTGTCCGAGGACGGCTTCCGAGAAATTCCTTCTCGAGCCCTGTTTGTGGGTGAAACGGTCGGGCCAGGGGGAACCTCGCTCCATCGTGCTCATAGAAGTGGACGACCTTATAGTGTCTTCGCACCCCAGGGAAAGGGCCGGTTTGAGGGAGCGGCTCCAAGGCCGTTTTAAATTCGGGAAGTGGAAAATCGGGGAATCGGATTTTGCGGGGAGGCATCTCAAGCAGGTGGGGTCTCGTATTTTTGTGGACCAAGAAAAATACGTCGTTGAGCAGCTTGCCCCCATGCGTCTGGCTAAGGAGCGCCGTGCTGTGCCGGATGATCTTCTCACCGCGGAGGAGATCCGCCACTATCGTACGATGGTGGCACAGATACAGTGGCTGGGGAGGGAGTCTCGTCCGGACGTGGCCGCCGGAGCCTCTTTGCAGAGTGCCGCGCTGCCTAGCCCCACGGTGGCTGACGCCATCATGTGTTTGAAAATAGTTAAGCATCTCAAGAGTTCGGCGTGCCAGAAGATTACGATCTGGCCTCTAGACGCTGCTTCTCTGAATTTCGTGACTATTTCCGATGCTGGTGGCCCCGGGTCCGCTCGTAGAAACGGGGCCCAAGGAGGATGGCTCGTGTGTGCGGCCGATGCGTCGATTCGGCAAAATGTGAGGTCCCGGGTGTCCTTGCTTTCTTGGCGTTCGGTCAGGTTGAAGCGCGTGGTCGCTTCCACGGGGGCTGCAGAGACTCTGAGTTTGAGTGCCGCGCTGGCCGAGGGCCAGTGGCTCGCCATCATGTGGCGAGACTTGCTTTTCAATGACGTGTGCAAGCCCGAGTGGCACCTCTCGCAGGCGCCCTTCTCTGTTGTGCTGAGCAGGGACTGTACCTTGTCTGAGGGAGTGAGCTCGCTTTCGGTCGTTGACGCGAAATCAATTTTCGATACTTTGTCTCGCAACAGTGCGGGCTCCCGTCAGGACAGGAGAACGGCGATTGAGCTCGCTGTCGTGCGCGACAGTCTCTCGGCTATAGGCTCTCAGATCAGATGGGCCCCTCATGGCCGCATGGCGGCAGATTGCCTTACTAAGGCAGACTCACACGGGGAAACGTGGCTCTCTCGGATCTTCTCAGTCGAGGTTCGATCGTGCTCGTGGATGAGGAGGGACATATGACAGAGAGAGCTCTCAACAATGATCTGAAGAGTCGGTCGCGCGCGTCGTCCCGTCAGGCTCTGAACCAGCCGGGAGACGGCTACTGGGTCGGGGATCAGGCCGGGGTAGGCGAGAGGGGTGAGGAGGAGGGCAGGAGTTTCGGGCCGCTGTCAGATCCACTGAAAGTAGTCCCGTTGTGGTCGTACCCCCACTCCCCTCCTCCCTGTGTGTCCCTTGGATCTGACCGTAGCCTGTTGGCTTAAGGCCGCCGGGTCGGCGGAGTTTCTCAGTACTGTACTGTGGTGTTCAGAGGCGTGCCTCGGAAAACTCTATGCCCATCCTTTGATAACTCGTTATCTTTCGCCTTCTTCGATGCCCGACGGAGACGATCTTACATGCTCGCACAGCACCTCGATTTCACATTTTCATATTCTCACATTCTAGTCAGTCCACGTTCTAGTCAGTCGCATTCGAGACGATCGAAGTAGGTGCGGAAACAATGGGTGAACAGGACTCGCTGTCCGCGTCGCCGCACGCTGTCCACCTAAAACAAAAAGCAGCCCGCCCAACCGCGGGGGGCTGTCGTTTCTGGACAGCACCTGCTGCTGGGCATCGTGTCCATTTCCTTCTACCCCTTTCGGGCTTTCAAGCCCATCAGTTCTGCACGAACGAGATGGGCACGGAAAGAATGGGTACACTGCTCAACAGCAGTTCCTGTTCATTTTGAAAAGGACTCGCTGTCCGCGCCGCCGCGGACTGTGTCCATTTGAGACAGGAGGCCGCCTGCCCAACAGCGGCCGCTGTTGATCTGGGACAACATGTGTTGTTGGTTTGGGACAACATGTGTTGTTGGGCGTCCAAATCAGTAGACGTTTGTCGCGAGCCTGCTCGCGGGGGGAGGGAGGAAGGGAGGGAGGGAGGGGGGGGGGGAGGAGGAGGAGGGAGAGGGGAGGGAGGGAGGGAGGAGAGGAGGGGAGGGAGGGGGGAAGGACCAGGAGGAGGAGGAGGAGGAGAGAGGGGAGGAGGGAGGAGGGAGGGAAGGGCAGTGCCCCCCTCCTCTCCTCCTCCTCCTCCCCCCCCCCCCCCTGGAATTCAAGTGGCCTGCGGGCGCCGACGCCAGAGTTCGCGGCCCCAAGGGCGGACCGATCCTTCCGGCTGCTCCTGGGGTCCCTTGGGGTGCCGGTCCTCCCAGGAGGGAGGGAGGGAGGGGAGGAGGAGGAGGAGGAGGAGGAGGAGGAGGAGGAGGAGGCGGGAGGGAAGGAGGGAGGGA